GGACGAGGCAGAGAGGAGGACGGGGAAGAGAGGAGGAGGACGGGGAAGAGAAGAGTCAGCCGCGGAAAGCAGAGGAGGCGGACGGAGAAGAGGCGGAGAAACGGGAATCTCGCTGGGGAGCACCTTTCTTACTACCCAGCCATCGGTGCATCTCAGAGTAAACAGTTCTTTTCGGGTAGCTGAAGTTGGAGTATCTGTGGTACTGCCCTGCCCTGCCATCGCCGCATAAGAATGCGTAAGTTATGTTTTATGTGGTCATGCGGGGTTGCAATCGGTTCATGATAAATAGATCACAAGCAGATTGATAGAAATCGCAGTGTTTGGTACTTGCGGAATACGCACGCTAGCACATTGTCAACAACTCTGGACATGATTGCTGTCACGTGCATCGTGATCGACATTTGATTTCCCTTTATTGCTCATCGTCGTTGATTGCCCTTGATTGCTCCTCATCGCCATTGATTTCCCTTGATCGCTTTTCATCTCCGTGATTGGCCTTGATTGCTCCTCATCGCCGTTGGTTGGCCTTAATTGCTCCTCATCGCCGCTGGTTGGCCTTGATTGCTCCTCATCTCCGTTGATTGCTTTTTCTGATCTCCTCTCCGTTGATTGCTTTTTCTGATCTTCACGGCCTTGATTTCTGCTCATCGCCGTTGATTTCTGCTCATCGCCGTTGATTTCTCTTGATTTCTCCTTATCGCCATTGATTTGCCTTGATTGCTCCTCATCGCAGCGAAGATTAGAAACTCGATTTTTATGGGTTGGATGTCAGCCGGGGAAAGCAGAGGAGGCGGATGGAGAAGAGGCGGAGAAACGGGAATCTCGATTTTTATGGGTTCCATGTCTACGTACGTTTCCATTTTTTTTTTCGAGTTCTGGTTTCTCATTGCTGAAGTGTTATGGGTTGTGATTTTGAACCATGGAAAAGTTTGTGGAAGAGGTGTCATGGCCGGACGAGCTACTCTGTTAGCGCAGCACCGAGAGCGAATCTGTGGTGGAGGCATTTGCTGATGGGGGAGGGCATGTCCTTTCCAAATTGTGGGGGCCTCACTTTCTCATTATACCTGGTTTGGAAAGGTTGCTTGTTTAGCGGAACAATAAGGGAACGAGCATCGCATGATTAGCAGCATGATTGAACGTCGGTGGAATTCTGGCCACATATTTTTTTTTGATGAACCACAACTTGTACGATTCCATATGCGAGAGAGAGAGAGAGAGAGAGAGAGAGAGAGAGAGAGAGAGAGAGAGAGAGAGAGAGAGAGAGAGAGAGAGAGAGAGAGTGCTTACTTCCCCACGAAATTGTGTCAATTGTGCATGGTGTGGGGAAAAAAAAGGCAGTACTGAGCCTGCGACGATTGGCCACGTGGCCACAGTATTTTCATAGTGCCCTGCTGTCATTGGCCACGTGGCCCAGTATTTGCCAGAATTTTCGTTTTCCTTTTTGTGGTATTTGCGAAAATGCCTACACTGTCTTTCCGTTCATTTGTTTAGACGGGAACGATACGGAAAGCTGAGGAGCCGCACGGAGAAGAGGCAGAGAATGCTCTGCACATGCACAAAAGACAAAAAATATGGTGGTGTATATTTCCATGTTCTGCTGGGGATTCATTTTCAGTTTGCACATTTGGTGAGTAGTTGAGCGAGGCCCTATGTTATGCCATGCAACATGCACATCAACACGGGGTAAGGATCCGGTAAGGGAGGTGGAGAAGATGGATGTGGAGGTGGTGTGTGGAGGAGTCTCGAGTAGTGATTTGTCTGAAGTAAGGGTCGGCAGTTCGAGTTTGCTGCTAGAGAGAATAAAAGAAAGAGGAAAAAACGGTTCAAAGACCTCTTGCCAAGGAAGGGGAAGGGTTCGCTGAGGGAGCAGGAGAAAATGGATATGAAGGCGATGTGTGGAGGAGGAGGAGCCTCGTGTACTGGTTTATCTGAAGTCGCAGTTGGGAGTTCGAGTCTTCTGCTAGAGACGAAAAGAAAAATAAACAACCGAGTTGAAAGACCTAGTAGCAAATCTCTCTGTCTCTGTCTCTCTCTCTCTCTCCCCCCCCCCTCCCCACCCATTCTTGCTGGCTCCCTTTGTTGTGGTCATTATGTCCAACCGGTTTTTTCAGATACATAATTTTCGATTACTCGATGATTACTGATTAATTACTCGTTGATTACTCGTCCAGTACTCGTTGGTTACTCATCGAGTACTCGTTGATTACTCGTCGAGCAGTCGTTGATTTTCTCATTATTTAATTATTAATTTAAGTAATTATTATCACGTGATGCGCCTCATCCCATACATATACGTATCATCCGGTGACGTCAAAGGGAGAAGGCACGTAAGTAACTGTCCTGATGATGGCACAGTGAAATTGGTAATTAATGAGTATTTGATGACTAATTAGTCAGGTATTACTGAGTAATTGATGATTGATTGATGAGTTATCTAATGAGCAATTGATGAGTAATCAGTGAGTGATTGCTAATCCGCGAGAGGAGGAAGTGGGAAAGACAGACGGTTCTTTTTTTTAGTACCGTCTTCACCCGAATAGAACGCCTTGTCATTTGGGCTTTATTTAGTGCGATTTTCAGAGGAGCCAGCGTGATAATGGCCGGGCGTTCTATTCGGGTGAAGACGGTAGCTCATTTGATACACCCCCATGGAATTGTTGAAGTATAGACCTGAGTTTGGATCCAGATGATGGAACTAGATGTGAATGAAAGCAATAAATTTCTGGATTCCCTCGGGCCTTTCAGTTTGAAAGGCGATATCTGAAGACCGTCGCCCTCTGTTTTTTTTTTTTTGGTTTTAATTTGAAAGGCGGAGGCTCTCTTTTTTTTTTTCTGACAAATGAAGTCATTTTTTCTTAAGACAATGGAATCATCATCATCATTATCGACAACGAATGTTGGCCATGGCTTTTCCGTTCTTTCTTTCTTTGCTCCCTCTGCTATTCTCCCGCGGTCATAATCATCATCGTCGTCATCGCCATCGCCATCGTCCTCTTCGTCCCCTTGTTGCTTCTAAGCGTGTTTCTCTGACCTCAGTGCATGCGGTTGTCCAAGTGTCACGATCCCCGTCGTCGCAATCGCCACCATCGCTGCCATCGCCATCGTCCTCTTCGTCTTCTTCGTCCTTCTGTGCGCGTTCCTCTGACCTCAGTGCATGCGGTTGTGCAAGTGTCGCAATCGCCGATCGTTGTCGTCCTCTTCGTCTTCTTTTTCCGTCTGAGAGAAGCATGCACGCAAGACAGTTTTTGGCCTCTGTTTATATCTATTCGTCTCCTCCTGCATGTCATCTTCCTGCATGTCATCTTCCTCCTCCCTCTCTTCTTCTTCTCTGTGAAAGCTTACCTCTCGTTGTTTGCTTCCAGTCGCCTCTCGTTGTTTGCTTCCCGACGTTCTCTACTTCTCGTACGCCTCTTCTTCTCCTGGTTGCCATTTTGTTGCGCTTACCTCCTCCTCCTCCTCCTCCTTCCTCTCTTCTCCTCCTCTGGTCCTCCTCTTCCCTCTTCTTCTCCTCTCGTCCTCCTCCTACTCCCTTTTGTCGGCTCCTCTATGGATCTTCTCTCTCCTTTTCGACTTCGTGTTCTTTACTCTCTTGCCTCTTTTTTCCTTCTGTTTGTTATCTTGCTTCAGCTGCCTTTTTTTTTTTTCCTGGGGGGCTTACTGCTTATTGGACATCTTGCTTAAATTTTCACTTATATGATTTTGACTGGTGCGGGTGCAGCCACGTAATTGGTTGAAAATTGTGCGCGCGCAGCGCGATACGTGAATAATCATTCCAAGGTCATGAAGGAGGGAAAATTGAAGCGAAGCTTTTTATCATTGCCATGAAAATTAGGGCGTTCTTTTGGGTGAAGGCGGTAGTTTGATGGTTTCGATCATATTCGTGGGAAGCCGCACGTGCTTTATCATTGCCATGGAAAGAAGGGTTTTCGAGCTCTAAATTCTCCCGATCTAATATTCCCCCCTCTCTAATTTATCCGCTCTAATTTTCCCACTCTCTAATTTTCCGGATTCTCGTGTTCCTGGTGTTCCTGGTGTCGCGTGATGTCTTCTTTTTTTTGCGGGGGGAGAACCTTCCCTGACCCTTTTCAGAGAAAGAATCAGCTCCCTCTCTCTCTTTCTACTCTGCCTTTTGGCCCAGAGGGCGACTTATCCCCTACCCTACATCCATCCATAGATTTTCAAGGCTATTCTCTCTTTTCCGCCTTATTTGTTGTCATATTCGCGTCACGCATCGTCAGTTGGTATCACACATCCCAGGAAAGCTCTAGGATAGTAATGTTAGTGATTGCTCACGGGTCGTTTGTTTGGCCTGCGCTGTTGTTGCCGGGGTGTATTTCACCTTGTTTGTTTATGTTCGCAAAATTGTTTTTCCCCAAATTTTGGTAATTTTTAAATCCTTATTTCTGTAACGAGTTTCTGTGATTTTTCTGTGTTTTTTNTGTTTTTTTTTTTTTTTTTTTTTTTTTTTTTTTGCCTTGTTCGTGGAGTTGCAGAAGTTGGTCGTGCTCGAAGATGTTTTTCCTCTGAACAGTGCATCTGTGAACCTTGATTGTTCCCAATCCAATGAGTTGTGCACCATCGGCGTGTCCATGAGCATTGAAGTGCCAGCCAACCAGCACGCATCAGCGTATTCCTCTGACGTGAGCGTCTCCCAGCTCAACATCGTGCACTGGATCAAGGTGAATGACTTTCTTGCTTTGTTGTTCTCTCTCCCTTTTCCATTTGTCGATTTGTCACCTTCTCCTCTCCAAAATTTCTTGGTGATGGATCATGCATGAAAGGACTTCTGACTGTGATTATGTACCTTGTGAACATTCCCGCTGTGTGTACTCCTCTCCCCTCTATGCTCAATCCAAGTTTGATGTGACTTTTGCACTGACTATGTTTCCTCGTCCTTTACACTCTTTCCCTCTCCTTTGTCATCCTCCGATCCTCCTCTGTCATGGTGCGTATTGATTGGTTGGGAGACAAACAAGAGGAGAGACTTTTTTCCTCTCCTTGATCGTTCTCCATTCCTCCTCTCTCATGGTGCTTATTGTTGGGTTGGGAGACGAAGAAGAAGAGAGAACCTCAAAACATGAAGAAGCACAACGATTGTCCAAATTGCCATTTTGTGTTTTTTTTTTTGCCCTTTTCAACTCAAAATTTGATGCGGCTGCACTTTTTTTTTTTTATAATGTTATTGCTGCAGGCTCAATATTGTACTATGCAGGCTCAATGTTGTACTATTTACGTGGGTGCAACGCATGGTAACATCGTTATCGTCCAAAAAAATATCATTCTTTTTTCCTTTTATTTTGTCCTTCCATCCTCTCCATTCCTTGTAGTTCTTTTTGGGGAGAAAGACTAAGAACTCTTAATATTGTTCTCCTTGCTTATCGAGTATAAGTACGTGCACATTACTGTCGTCAATCAAACATGTCGTTGACAAACTCTAGCATTTCAGCAGGTGCATCGCTGTGTGTATTGCAGTACACTTATCTTGTCTATCGGTACTAGCTCATCTCACGGAGAAAATGGCAAGTTCGAGACGTAACACGGCTAGAGAGGATGATGATGGTGTGGAAATGGCGAAAGTCATCACAAGAGCACTGGCTGTTCTTGAGCCTATCCATAGCGTATTGCCACTAAGGTTTTCAGAGTTGGTGAGCAGAATTGCAGCGGAAGCTGGATGTTGCCCATGGATGGTTGTTGGCCCCATCATCTCGGTAGCTGGGCTTATGATGGGATGTCGAACGTACACGCTTCTATCCGACAATACATGGTTTGAAAAACCTATTTTCTGGTCAGTTGTTCTCGCCTTCAGTGAAATGAACAAGTCGTCAGCGCATCAGAGAATACTAGATGCACTGAATAGAGTTGAATCTCGTATTCAGGAGATTGTTTCTGCGAAGACAACTCCACAGAACACTGCAACAATGGTGGACAAGGATGGAAATCCACTGAACGAGAAGAAACTCGACTTCAACTTGACCGGGGTAAGCGATTATGTTTTTTTTTTCTCTGACAACGTATTACAACTTACATTTTCCTTTGATTCAGTGCGAAAACTGTGTGGAGGTTTCCAACTACTCAAAGTCTTTAAGGAAAGGTTCACACTAACTTCTTTCCAGCTACGCAAAGTCTTTAAGGAAAGGTCCACACTAACTTCTCTCGGTAACCAGTACACTATTCGACCACAATGATAATTTTCATCTTGCTTCTTTTTTTTTTTTTTTTTGAAAATTGTTGTACTTCGAAGGCAGACCAGTCTGTATTCTTAACTCTATATCATCTGTTTCCTAGTTGTTTTGCTTTTTCACGAACCTGTCACTACTCTAGTGTATATCGCCTAGGCTGGGCCGTCGCCCGGCCAGACTTGCCCTGGCCAGCTGGGCCGGTGGGGATCGCCCGACAAAACCAGGCAGGCCAAAAAAGATGGAAGGATCCCCCCAAAAAAGAAACTGGCTTCAGGACAGGACTGCACTCGACATGAGCAGTCAGAATCCGGCCTTACCTTCCATTTCGGTGGTGGGCCACCCAGGGGTGTTTGGGGGGTATAAAGTCAATCTAAACAGTGACTAGAGGGGTTTAAAAGGGTATATCTTACCTCATTTCTCCTCATTTAGGGACTCTCAACCAAAAGTTGCTTGTGCTGCAATTTTACACAACATATTTTTTTTTCAGATGTTTTTGAATTTTTTATTTTTTATTTTTTTTTAATATTGTGCGCTGGGGCTGCCTGGGACCCTGCCCGGACCGTGCCCGGCCCGGGCCGCCGGGGAGGGTACCCGGGCGACTTTCCTCCAGCCGGGCCGCCTGGGGACCAGGTTAGTATATTGGTGTAAAGAGGAACATTGACAAGGGACAATGAAGGTTCAAATGAGGAGGGGGAGGAAGGATGACGACACTATGGAAGTAGCGGGAGGAGGGATGATGACAACGAGGGAACAGGGGGGTGAGGGATCACGACGATGTGACTCTTTGTTTTTGTAGTGTTTTTTTTAACATCACATAAATTTTTCCATTATTAAAAAAAAAAAATTGTGAGCTACTTCGTCATCTTGGGCGAAGAGGACAGAGCGCTACTGCTACAATGGTGTCAGCGAGGAGGAGCAGTAGGAGTGGCGGCGAAGATGATGAGAGGTATCGATCAGGAGATGGACCCCAACTGGGAGAAGGATGATGGGCGAGAGCGGGTAACTAAGATTGGCAGGAGCAGAAGCACGGAGGACCTAAGGTTACACCCGATATTGTCATTATATGCTTACCGTTATGCTCGATCTCTTTGTTACTCTTTTTTCTCATCTCTCTCTTATTTAAGTTTCCCTGTTTTTCCCTCTTTCGGTTTGCACATGATTGTAAATACTATTCCAACCGTCAATGCCTAACTACACTGTACTTTTTGCTATGCAGAAAACATTCGAAAGAATGTTCGAATCCCTGCAGGAAAATGTGAACCCTGAACTCGTTGCATTGGAGGATGAACTTGCGACGATATTCAGCAAAATATGGATCTTTGCCACAAACCAGCACAAGGTGGAGTACGACTTGACAGGTCTAGTTTGTTGAGTCTGAAACAAGGAGGAAGATGGGAAATGCGAACCGTTAGCAATTTGAAACGTCATCTATCCCGCACACATGTGATATTCAGTGGTTATATACAACCTGAGAGGTTTCAGATGCTTCACGCAAAAAACGCTGATGGGTTGATGAATCGATTCCATGTTTTCATCCCCGAAGTTTTCATGGAAAGTTACGCTCCACCAGTGTCAGGTGTAAAACGTGCGACATATCACCAAATCAGGTCAAATGAGCGATGTGCTTGATGACTTAGATGAACATCTATCTGTTCCAAGTCGATCAACCCTCTTGTTAGCAGAGGTGTGTTATTCTTATTGCCCTTTGTGTTCTTGCCAAGCTTTGTGTGAGTCATTTCTTTAATGTTTGTTTATCTGCATGTATGAATATATTCTTATTGCATTTATTTTTTTCACCTGTGGATGATGCATTACGTTACACATAGTTCGAACAACAGATCAGTTGATCTGAAAGGCTATCATGTCCACCGGTGCTTGGCAGGTCTACTGTGCAAGGATGTTTTCCGGAGATCGATTACAAAACTCCCCTAGTGCAAATCATTATTATATTACTAATGTAAATGCAACTGAGTTCAAAATTTGGGCGAGTCAAAGGAAGGGTCGAAATATTTGGTCAAAGGTCAGAAAGAGGGATCAAAAGTCGAATCTTGACTCCCTTAGAGGTCTGAGAAAGTCCTTTGGGACAAGGGCTACTAGGCCCTGAGTAAAAAGTTGCGTCCAGTACCCCAGGCCTGGTAGCTGACTCTTGGAAAATCAAGAGTCAGACCCTCACGGGAAATGCAGGCCCAAAGTCAATGGCTCCCAGTAGTCAGCCACGGTCGTACATCAGATGCACATCAAAGATTGTATGCAGGTTTTTAAAAGATTCGCGTTCCAACGTGGACACTAGACATCTGTAAGAGCATTGCATCCAGGCCGTCAACTCTAGGAAAATCTCTATCGTCGACACGGTCCAATGTGAGGCTGGTCAACGCCAGCCAACACTATAAGAAGAAGATCAGGGCGAGGGGAAGCTCATTCTGCCCTGCACTCACTCGTGGCCAAGTTGCTGCTCGCAAGGTTAGAAAGCAAGGTGTTGGTGTCAGATGCTGTTGGAGGGCACCTGCCTTAATAGAGGACATGCTGGTGTGGCCATAGCCGCCATAGCCATAGCTTTAGGTGGTGAGGTGGTGAGGTGGGCAAAGAGTAGGAGCATGCAGTGTACGGGACTGATGAGAGGTTCGAGGGGAAGCTTACCCGAACTTGCGGCCATTGTGATTCAGTTGTCGACAGTCTCTAGGAAGGTGAAGAATGACACTGCCATCCTCCATAGCTAAGCTTGAACATTGGTAGGAGGAAGAGCGCTCTGCTGGTATCTGCACAGTGACTATGTCAGCGTCGTCAGAAGGAGAACATGCATTGATGAAGTGCGGATAGGGAAGAAATCCGAAGTAGAAGTGAGACTGAAGAGTGACATACTTGTAATATTGCTTATTAATGTAGTTGTTTTTTCTCTCTTCTCTGTACGTCCTCTACCCTATCCCTATTGCTCTTATATAACGGTTCGCTGCAGCTGAAATGTGCAATCAATCTTGATATGGATTTGTGATCATTTTTGGAGACTTCATAATGAGCGCTGGTTTTAGACTTGTGTGACATCGCTAATCGGCTTCTCAATTGGATTGAGTGCATTATATAAATTATATATTTTAAAAATGTATCTCTGTTTTGAATATTATTCTACTTTATTTGTACTGTCTGTGCAATTTCATTGTGTATTTGTGCAGCTCTTCAGGCGCATCTGGCTTATCCACCACGATGTTGAAAATCATGGTGTAGCAAGAAAGCACCAATACTGGATCGAGGACCGTGCATTAGAAAACTTCATACTTGAGTTCAACCGCATACAGAGCATCCTACGAACATTGCACAGACGACATTGCCTTGGAAAAGGAGGCAAGACTATAAGCATTCTTCACCTGTCAATTTGAATTTGTTCGTTTGTAATTGTTGAGCCAGTTCTTGGTGTGAGCAGAACTGCATCTTTTCGAGCCTAATCTGAACGGCTTTCACTTATTTAGAAACTATATATTTTTTTGCACTTCATGCCCATTATTTAGAAAATATTATTGCATTGAGCGAAATGAAAGTTTGAGTAAGTAGCATGATCATTTCAATTAGCGAAATATAATATCATAATATTTCAAACCCAACCTTGTTTTGTCCTTGGAACTTAGTTGTTTATTTTTGCAATTTTAGTCCTCTTCCCCCCCCCCAAAAAAAAACAGAACCTTATGGTTCTTGGTTCATATGTATTATAAGGAGCATCAGCCTGATTTCTTTTCCACCCACAAGTCAAATATTTAGACCAATGAAACACATGTACACTTCTCCCAATCGATTGCTTCTGAAAGGAATGATGTATCTCCCCTCAGCCCTATATAACTTGGTTAGCCTGTCGATCTAATGCCTTTGTTCTGTTTGGCAATTAACTCAATCCCATCTGATCATGAGCTGAGTCTAAACCGGATTTGACTGCTCATCTTAACTGATTCTGCTTTGAGTCAGGCTTCACTTTATAAAGCCTTGCTTATATATGACCTCCTGTATGTTAGAACCTGATGACTTTTGTTGTCTTTCTTACGCAAAAGTTACTTATATTTCTAGTGTCGTCATATAAGATAGGATCCTGGTGAGACTTGTTCTAAACACGGCAGCAAGTACACGCATGCTTTCGAGACTTCTGAGATAGGATGCTTGGGATGGATGCTTCGATGAGTTTGAGGGATAAAATTGCATGTGGTTTTAGTACTGGGGATACAGTCTTAACAAAGTTAAGGGTTAGGGTACTACCGTACTAGCAATAATTTAGGTTGTTTTAGTCTCGTAGTGGGACAATGCGACAGGGACTTAGGAGACGCAGAAGGCGGAACTGTTGGGGCAAAGGACAATACGATTGCTGCATCTGCGGCAGCTGATGCATGAGGTGCAGTTGATGCAGTAGCAGTTGCAACTGCTTCACCAGGTCCATCTTGTGGACTAGCTGCACAAGATGCAATTGCTGCATCAAGTGCAACTGCTGCAACTGCTGCAGTAGCTGCAGCAGTTGCAACAGCTGCATCAGCTAGGTGCAACAATTGCAGCTACTGCAGTGGCTGCATCTGGTGCACACTTCTTTTATAGTTTTTTTCTTTTTTTTTCTCATCTGCACATGTTGCACCTCTGGCAGTTACTAAAGATGCTGCAGGGCCCCCACCCCCCCACGCCCCCTTCCTATGTTTTTTTTTTTTTTTTTTGCTTGCTGCAATGGTCTGAGCCGAAAATGGGAGGTTAATTAGGTTCCGGGTATTTCGTGCAGGTAGAATTAACCAGTTGAACTAGCCTTTTCACCCGCTGTTAGGACCAGTTTTTCACTGGCTAGTTTGTAGGGTACTGATTTTTTAATAATCTACTATTTTTTGTCTGGCGAATTCTACACATCCAACAATTGTGTTGAATTTTTGTTCAACAGGCTGTGGATTTTAGTTCCCACGATCTGCTTTATGACAATGATAGAGTTTTCAGGGATGGCGCTGGACTCTTCAAATGCTAATACGCATCTCATTTTCAAAGTGTCGTAGAGAGTTTCTTTTTCGGATTAGTGAGAAGAAAAGAAGTTGAAATGGTTAACGTTTCTTTTTTGCATCTCATTTTCAAAGTGTCGTAGAGAGTTTCGAAGTCTGATTCTAGCCTACCAAAGTCGTCCGGGACCCCACTTGCGTGGTCGGGCCTATATATATGACGATATATATATATATATATATATCGTCAAATA